TTGCACCCCTGTTGGCTCTGTGCGTCCTTCTGCATCATTGGCTGGCCTTGCACCCCTGGGCAAGGCCAGAGAAAGCTGTCCTTGGCTGAGCTCAATTGGTGAAAGAGTGAAAGTTGGAGCTCTTTTCAAAATGAAAGCAGGAGAAATTGTTCAGGAGTGGAACGTCTGTGAAGATTTTCAGTCCTCCAGGTCAGGGGTAGCCTGATTTGTGGGTGTGGCTTGGTGGTCATGTCACTGTCTGGGCATGGCTTGTATGTAAATATTGTATTTATATATTGTATTTTTTTTATAAAAAAGAGCAACTTTTAACCAAAATCAGGCAAAGCAGGCAGGCAGATTGAGTTGCTCACAGAATCACAGATTCATTCAGAGATCTATCTGCCATCTGCTAGCTCAGTCTGACATAAAATTTGCTTGCAAACTCACAAAATTAATTCACAACACATCGTGTATGTAAATATTGTATTTATATATTGGATTTTTTTATAAAAAAGAGCAACTTTTACCCAAAATCAGGCAAAGCAGGGAGGCAGATTGAGTTGCTCACAAAATCACAGTTTCATTCAGAGATCTATCTGCCATCCGCTAGCTCAGTCTGACACATACAATTTGCTTGCAAACTCACAAAATTCATTCACAACACACCATGTACGTAAATATTGAATTTTTTTATTAAAAAAAGAGAGCAACTTTTACCCCAAATCAGGCAAAGCAGGGAGGCAGATTGAGTTGCTCACAGAATCATTCAGTGATCTATCTATCGGCCATCGGCTACCTGAGTCTGTCACATAAAATTTGCTTGCGGTGAGTCTGCAGTGAATAATAGAACCTTCAGTCCTAAGGGAGGTTCGGCTGTGCCTAAAAGCAGAGCCAAAGATCTAAAGACTAGCTAGAAAGCAAGAAATGCAACCATTTCCTGCTTTCTAACTAATCTAAATCTCCCGGCACAGCAGAACAGCTGATGGCTGGGGAAAAAAAAAAAGGAAAAATAGCAACTTAGCAGGCAAGTTTGCCAGGTAAGGAGTGAGTGGGCGGGGAGAGTTCCCGCAGGCCATGTGGGTGGCGCAGTCTTGTGTTCCTGCGCAGCCTGAATTAATTGCTTTGGGGGGATGCTCTGAGGGTGACATTTCTCTGCAGCCCACCAAAATTTTCTCACGGACCACCAGTAGGCAACGGACCACCGGTTGGCGACCATTGCTCCAGGACATGCTTGTCCCAAGGTGCTTTTTTCCCCTTCAAAAGGCAACTGGCCTTTTTAATTTTGCTAGAAGACACGGGAAACCCATTTGTCTCCAATTGTATAAGGTCTCCTACTTTAGCAGGGGGTTGGACTAGAACAGGGGTCACCAACCAGTGGGCCGGAGACCACGAGCAAATTAATCCAGGCTGTGCCGCCCACATGGCCCGCGGAAACACAAGGCTTGTGTCGCTTGCATTGCGAACACGAGGTAGTGAGGGGAGGGGGGAAAAGGGGGGAGAATTTGCCCCATGTGCCTCACCTAGTCACCGGGCTGCTTCTTTCCACTTCTTTCTTCTTCTGCTTTTGGCGGCACGCAAGGAAAGCAGCAAAAGTCTTTCTTTCTCTCTTTCCCCCTGAGAACGGAGCTGGAGACAGTATCCTGCGATCCCAAATAAAGAAAGATCAATTGGTAGGAAAACGGGGTTGGGGAATTTTCCTGAAGACTTTTGGGGGGGATTTTTCCAGGCTCTCTGGTCTGCAGGATTTAAAATGATGAGTTTGGTGGTCCCTGAGGTCCAAAAGGTTGGTGACCCCTGGCCTAAAAGACCTGCCAGGTCCCTTCCAACTCTATTCTGATCGACTGATAGAAGTTTCTGCTTGAGTGAGAAGTGAAAGTTTAAGTCCAACTGCCTTTTGAAAAAGCACTTTGGGGATAGCCATGACCTAGATGACCGAGAATCTCCACAGACAAAATCCTGAAGATTGAAATCCATGCATCTTAAAAATCACTCGGGTTCAAGGAGCCTACTTTAGAAAGCAGAAAGTCAAGCCTCAAGTTGCTGCTATCAGGTCAGAGGACTTCCTTGGTGGGGCATTTTATTTTGTCTTTTTGAGTTCTTAGTTTGCGTGTGGAATCTGTTTTTTTTGGTGTTGTTGTTTTCAACCGGTGTCCCTGAGGGCTCGAGAGATTGAAGAGAATCAGTGCGCTAGCTTCTCCTCCATGCCTCTGAAGAACGAGGTGATGTTTTGGTTTGTTAGGTGCTGGTCATCTCTCTCTCTGCCACACAGAGATAAGGCGGCCTTCTGCAGCGAAAGAGGGGCTCCTACGGCGCCAACATCTTGAGATCTTGGTGGATCTTCCTTACACTACTTCCATCCCTGGATTCTCATTGTGACACTGAGATATAGAATATTATTTATTGGGAAAGAGAGAGAGAAAAGGAGGGAGAGAGGGAGGAGAGAGAAGGAAGGAAGGAAATAGAGTGGAAAGAGAAAAGAAAGGGAGGGAGGAAAGAGGAGAGAGAAGGAAGGAAATAGAGAAGGGAAAGAAAGAAAGAAGAAAAGAAAGAAAGAAAGAAAGAAAGAAAGAAAGAAAGAAAGAAAGAAAAAGAAAGAAAGAAAATGAAAGAAAGAAAGGAAGAGAGAAAGGGAGAGAAAGAAAAGAATAAAATAGGGAGAAAGACAGATGAAAGAAAAAGAAAAGAAATGGAGAAAGAAAGTAAGGAAAGAGAAATGGAGAGAAAGGGGGAGAGAAAGAAATAGGGAGAGAGAAAAGAGAAAGGAAAAAATAGGGACAGAAAAGAAAGAGAAAAAAAGAAGGAAAGAGAGGAAGAGGAAGAAAGGAAAGAATGAGGCTCTTTAGCTCGCAAGAGCATCATCGCATAAAAAAACGAATGGAAAGAGATTCACAGGAGCACCACACTTTTCAAGAATAATGGTATACACTTAGTCCTTGACGTGACCAATTTCTCTTTTCCTTGTGAAGGTCTTTTGCCCAAACCAATGAACTACCCTTCCCCCATTGCCTTAGTGCAGAGTTCTCCAATGTTTCTGGCTTGTGTACCACCGTGTGTGTGTGTGTGTGTGTGAATGGTTCACACAAGTAGCCAGCAAGTATGTGTGCACACAGCTCCATTTGCGCAAGCGGCACGCACGCACGCCTGCCGCTCAAGAAAATGCATTTGGATGGGAGACCAAAAGGAAATCCAGGCTGGGAAGTCAAACCCCGTTCCCCCCATCCAGGCCATACAAAGCAAAGCACTTCTATCCCATTGCGACAAGGAAAAATGAGTATAACACAAGAGGATTTAAATTGGGCTCATTTTATCCAGGGATTTAAGTGGTATTTCTCAAACTTTGGCCATTTTGAGATATGTGGACTTCCACACCCCAGAATTCGGGGAGTTGAAGTGGACTTCAATGTTGTCAAAGTTAAGAAACTGGATAAAAGAATCTTTTCCCTGCTTGATAGCAGACAGGAGTTTACCAGTCCTGATTAAAATTGTTCATTTGCCAAGTGTACACTTTGTTTTTTACTGTGCCCTCTTTGCTTTTGTCTCAATTTTGCCTTCACCCCTGTGTCTTCAATCTTGGCACGCCTTTCGAAAAGGGCGGATGCCCTCGGCCCCTGTCCAACCCCTTTCCTTTTTCGCACTTCTCTCCTTTTTTTGCCACGGCGAAATGTTCCTGGCCACGGCTCCACGTCTTTCACCCCATCCTTCCTACTACCGCAGAGATGGAGAAGGGCTCGGTGGTTAATTTCCAGAATTCAGATGTCCTTTAATGTTCTCCTTCCCTTCAGCCTTCCTTCTTCATCTGGGGTCCTTCAGAGGGGCGCTGGATTCCCAATGTCCAAGGCAGGAAAGGCTGGCTGAGGATGACGGGATTGACAGTCAAAAGTTCGGAGCTGCTTTTAAAAAGCAAGAGGCAAAGAACAGTGTCAACTAAAAAAAAATACTTCTTTGATCTTTTTTAGTTGCAGGCAGAAAGGGAGTGGGGAGAAAAGCAGTGCATTCCTTAAATGCTTCAGATAATCGCCTTGGCAGCCAAAGCTGTTGGCGCGCAAGATTATTACTGGAGAACATGATTGATGACTCTTGGCTATGGATGCGTCTCGGTGGAGAATATACATCCGGGGGGTGAGGGGAAGACCAGGGTCAAGGGGGAAATGAATGATGTGTCAGAGTTGGCTACAACCAGGAAACGCCGACATTAACTCCAAAAAATCAATATTTTTTACTCTAAGAGATGCGGCTAGAGACTTGTGATTTGAATGGGGGCGCATGTTGGAGCCCTGACAAACAGAGCTGTTCATGTGGCATTGCGCGAGGCGAATTCTGTGCCGCTCCTCTAAAAATGTACAACCTGAAGCTATTTGTTTTTGTTTTTGGAGTGTCTGTAGCACTGGTGGGTTGCTGCCAATTCGAATCGGGCCTAGCGAACCGGTATGATGATCAGCTGGCCTCAACCCCGCCCTATCCTGTCTTACATTTCCTTCTTTTGCAACTCAGCAAAGTGGATTACTGCGCCTCAGCTGTTGTACTTCACTGGGAAAGGCTAGAACAGGAGTGGCTAACTTTTTGGGGCTTCCTATGCCAAAAATTGTGCGTGCACACTCACCTGCCACCACCCAGAAGGCAATGTGTGCCCCCCCACACTCTTGCACGTGCGTGCACAATCCCCTGCCGCCGCCCCCTTACCTGCACTGCGCCTCCCAGCTGATTTTCGGCCCATTCAAGACATTTTTTGGCCTCCCAGAGGCTTGAGGAAAGCTTCTGCAGGCATTGCAGGCCGAAAAATGGGCCCAATTCGTCACTTCTGGTATTTCCAGAAATATAGGAAGTGACAAAATGGGCCTATTTTTCGGCCTGCAAAGGCTTTCTTTAAGTCTCTGGGAGGCCGACAAAGGCCTCAAATAGGCTGAAAATCAGCTGGGAGGCGCGCGCATGCGCAGTGAGGTAAATTTGCCTGCAGCCGGCGTACCAGCACAAATGGCTCTGTGTGCCACAGGTGCCATAGGTTTGCCATCACGGGGCTAGAAGGTGAACAGGAGAGGTTCAAATTAGTGTTTATTAAATGCTGCACGTGTGAAGCGTGCACTCACAGAACCGGTTGTTAAACCGGTTGTGGCCCACCACTGATCTGTAAGAACCTGTCCCAATCCTGACAGGCATTTGAGGAGACTTAAAACCGTCTGGTAAAATAGGCTACCAAAGAATGAAGGCGAAAGTCTGTCACTGTCCTTCATAGAGATTTGGATGTTTGAGCAGTGCTGCCTTCGGATCGAAACTCTTCCCAAGTTCGGGATGCGGGTAAGTTCGCTGACATCGGTGGATGCGCTGGTGCCTGGTCAATTTATCCCTCCGAGAGAAATTTCTCCCGCATTCGGGACACTTGAAAGGTTTCTCTCCCGTGTGGGTTTTTTGATGACCCATCAAGTGGACCCTCTGCCGAAAACATTTCCCGCACTGGGGACATTCGTAGGGTTTCTCTCCCGTGTGAATCCGCTGGTGCCTCAGCAGAGGTTCTCGCGACGTGAAGCTCTTCCCGCAAGCCAGGCATTCGTGTAGCTTCTCGCCCGTGTGGATCTTCTGGTGTTTGGTCAATGTTTGCCTGTGTCGGAAGGATTTCCCACACTGGGCACACCGATACCGCCTCCCTTCCGTCTGAATGCCTTGATCTCTCTTTACGGCTTTCTGGCTTTTACTGTCTTTCTCCTCCTTCAGGCATTCGCGAGGTTCCTCGGATGGGTGGTTTTTCGGGCACCCCGTCAAATCATCCCCCAGGCGGAAGTCTTTCCTCACTTCCAAAGGTTCAGTTTCTTGCTCAGCTGATTGGATCCTCTGAGGTTTATCCAAGTAACATTTCTGCTGGATCGTTTCCTCCAAGGAGGGACATCGACAGGGTTTCCCTTGCATCTCCACAAATCCTGATTTATAACAGCATTTTCGTCCCTGCTTCGGCGGCAGGGCCTTTCCCCGTTCCGCCTGCGCGGTGGGATTCTTCTCGACGGCAGTTGTAAGATCATCTGAGACGTCACACCATTCATTCTTCCCCTTTGCGGACATCTTATCCACTTGGAATTCCCACCTCAGTCCATGAATGTTTGAGGTGACAGGAAATGTCCACTGGGAATTGTCTGCTAGCGTCCTGGGGGTTTCTTCCAGCACAGTCTCTCCCCGCTGAGAATTTTCCATCTTGATCCAACCTCGGCTGTCACCTGAAGAAAGAAGAAAGAGGAATGTCTGTAGAGATTCTCAACCGTCCAGCTCACGGTTTTTCCAAAAGGCAACTGGACTTTTCTTGGTTTTATTTTTCTTTGAAAACATTTCACTTCTCATCCAAGAAGCTTATTCGGTTCAGTCCCTGGATAAGAAGCAAAACATTATTGAGGTTAACAAAAAAACCAAAAAACAGGAAAGTCCAATTGTCTTTTGAAAAGCACCTTTGGGACAAGAAATTCTAATTCTGATTATAATTATTCTATTCTATTAAAATACTGAAGTTTGCAGGTGATACAACAGCAATTGGTCTCATTCGAGATGACGACGAATCAGCATAAAGACAGGGGGTTGTACAACTTGCCTCGTGGTGTGACTGGAACAATCTGGAACTGAACACACTCAAAACCATAGAAATGATGGTAGACTTTAGGGGAAACCCTCCCATACTACCACCTCTTACAATACTAGACAACACAGGATCAACAATATAGACCTTCAAATTTCTAGGTTCTATCATATCACAAGACCTATAATGGACACCTCACATCAAAAACGTCATCAAAAAAGCACAACCAAGAACGTTCTTTCTGCGCCAACTCAGAAAACTCAAACTGCCCAAGGAGCTGCTGATACAGTTCTACAGGGGAACTATTGAGTCTGTCATCTGCACCTCTATAACTGTCTGGTTTGGTTCTGCAACCCAACAGGACAGACACAGACTTCAGAGGATAATTAGGACTGCAGAAAAAAACAATTACTACCAACCTGCCTTCCATTGAGGATCTGTATACTGCACAGGTCAAAAAGAGGGCCGTGAAAATATTTACAGACCCCTCACATCCCGGACATAAACTGTTTCAACTCCTTCCCTCAAAATGACGGTACAGACTACTGCACGCCAGCAGAACTAGACAGAAGAACAGTTTTTTCCCTGAATGCCTTCACTCTGCTAAACAAATAATTCCCTCAACACTGTCCAACTATTCACAAAATCTGCACTACTATTACTGTTAATCTTCTCATTGTTCCTATCACCCATCTCCTTCCACTTGTGACTGTATGACTGTAACCTTGTTGCTTGCATCCTAACAATTTATATTGACTGCTTCCTAGGATGATTTGATTGCTTATTTGCACCCTATGACTATTATTAAATGTTGTACCTGATGATTCTTGACCAATATATCTTTTCTTTTATGTACACTGAGAGCATTTGTACCAAGACAAATTCCTTGTGTGTCCAATCCCATTTGGCCAATAAAGAATTCCATTCTATAATTATTCTATTCTATTCTTTGAGGATCTGTCATAAGCTAAGGATGACCTGTACAAACAGCTCCAAGGTTTCCGGAAGGTTTTCTGGATTTATCCTGTGTTTCTAGAAGTTCCCCTCCTTCCCCACTGTCTGACTCACATCCCTCCTTCCGTATGTCGTCCTCCATTGACACATTCCCTGTGTTTATCTTGGCCGCTGTCCTGGACGTCTCCTCTGGATCGTTTCCTCCATACAAAGAAGTTTCCATTTTGATCCAGTTTCTGTTCTTGATGCCTGAAGGAACAAGAAAGGGGATATTTCTAAGCCTTTGGTTTTGATCACTTTTGCGGGTTCCATCACCTCGTTTGCACTTGCGTCCTCCCTGGTTGCAAGGCCGCTTGCGCGCTCACAAGCATCTACTTACCCAAACAATCTGTGCTGCCGTTCTCCTCCTGCAGGACTTGCCAGAACATGGTGCGTTGACCAGGCTGGATCAGACCCTGCTCTTGGAGGCTCATTGATCCCTACAAACAAGGATACACAGCCATCAGTTAACGTGAAATCGGTGAAGGGATGTCATGCTAACTCGGGGAATGCAGAAGGTATGAGTGAGCCATCAACATGGGACAGCAGTAGCAATAGCACTTAGACTTGTATACGGCTTCACAGTGATTTACAAGCCCTCTCTGAGCGCTTTACAGAGTCAGCCTATTGGCCCCAACAATCTGGGTCCTCATTTTACTGACCCTCGGAAGGATGGGAAGGCTGAGTCAACCATGTGCCGGTCAGGAATCAAAATAGAATATTATATGATTTGGGATTTATTTTATAAACGGTTGGAAAATAAAGCAAGCAATTAAATGATATTGTTATAATGACATATAATGCTGAATAGGCTATATAATATGAATGTAAACTTAGTAAGAAATGTATACAAGTATTAATATGTGCACAAGATATATGTCCAGCCGGTCTTTGAAAAGTTGCAGATTTGCACACAAACCACAAACCACCATGCAGAGCAGAAAGCAGGTTTCAAGGGTTTTTAATGTCAAACAACACATT